CTCGGGGTACGGATACCTCAGACGTAAAAAGTTCACATGTGTACTTTGGTAAGAGTATTTAAACAGTTCCACAGTGTGGCCACCAGGCTTTGCTCATTTACTTTATCTGGGCCCAGGTCCACTTCACATGTGAGCAGTCCAAAGTGAATGCGTTCACACAGATCCGACCGTCAGCCTCACGTCCCTGAAGACGTTAGAACGGAGCATGGACGGACACAAAGAACGGTGTTTATAGAAAAGCCTGATTATTCTAAGCTCTGCGTCTCTTTATCTTGGCTGGTTTTCTGTGAATGACTCTGGCTTGCCAGCAGTCTGGACATCATCAGCGATCTGTGGTTTCAACACACTGGCAGCCAACGGAGAGCAGCCAACTCTGGAGTAAACCCAGGCGATGAGATGCAGCATTTGAAACCAACTGTGCGTGAGCTGTAAACCGATCTGACGCACAAATATAATAATAATACTAATAATAATATTCATCTGATAATGAAGGCCCGCTCGTTCCTGAGCACTCTGTAATTCGACGCCTGTAAATCAGCGCTTTGAAATTCCACACTCACTGACTCTGAAATTGCCTCCTGAGTTCAAGGAGGATCCTTCCTTGGCTGCCACGACCTTATATGGAAAGCAGATTGGCTCAGGCCTGTGCAACAGTGGGTTTATTTTTTTTATAGATTAAGAAGCAACTAGTCTGGAATTCCACTAAAAAAATGAAACAGTTTGTAGCTAAAGGATGAAGCATCAGGATGGAGGGAAAATGAACAAAACTCCTATTAAAATACTGTAATAAAATGACATTTTGAGTGACAGCGTCGGCTGTAGGAACAGATCTCTACGTCCAGAACACTGACGAGGTTCACAGGAACGACAGGATGTAAAGCCTCTAACGTCACTGTAGGAAAACTCACACCGCCGTGTTTGCAGTCGTTTTCTACCAACAATAAAGTGTTCCTCGCCGACGTCTAAGGTGTTTCCTGACATGTCTGTGATTCACTGCAGACGTACGCGAATTCATGACTGTAGCAAATGAACATAACCCCGAGCTGACAACAGCACTTTCTGACGACAGCGTGTCGGGGACTACTGATGACATATCACATTCTTGAGGAGGTGTTCCATTTTGTAGCTGTAGATTTCTACCCACTACTCCTTGTTACTCCTTGTTCCGAGTGGCAGGGAAGAAGGAGAGGACAGAAATTGGTTCTCCGTCTCCTCCCTCCAGAAATCACAGGAGTTAATACTATATAAGATAAGAGAGAGGGAAAAGAAGAAAACAGATGGGAATTAAAGGAGTGGTTAATGAAGGATTTTGGCACCACTAGGATTTCTGCCTGATATCTACTGCCCATAATGTCCAACATAAACACTGATCTGGCCTCATGTTCTTGAGTCATTTACTTCATCAACAGACATGATGAACTGTAGTGAGGATGAGCACTGATCCCAACACCAGTATCAGTATCTGAGCAGATAAACCAATCCTTAAAATACTACAAAATATGTGCTGATTCAGAGTTATCGTGGTCGCAGCCACACAAGTTTCTCAATAACAATTCTGCAGAAACTCCAGACCAGACTTCCAAGCAGCAACTAAATTATCAGTATGCAGCGTGACATTAAAGGTTAATGTAAAATTGCGGCAAAGTCCTTTGAGGTCTCCTGGGGCCAATAACAAGGACCTCCATCGTTTTATTCTAATTTAAATTAATAAGTGTTTTCTATTCAGCGGAAGCGTTCTCCTCGGTCCTGGGAGTCAAACTTCGGTTCGAGCAGCAAATACTGAGAAACCATTGTTCCCTCAGCTCAGGAGGATGACACAGTAAAACAGCAGGTATTGTGGGAACTGGTTTCTGAGGTCCTACACGCTGTTATCACACTTCAAGTCAATGGGAAATTCCATTCCTGTTGAGCTGAAGCAACCGCTAAGACTTTCACCGGCAGAAAGAAAAACTAACTCTCGGTCAAATGCTGCATCTGCCAGGCTGGTCTTTCCAACGTGAGAAGAAAAAGGCTTTCAGATGTGGGTGAGCGGCGTTAAAACACACACACAAACCCAAACAGCCAACGGGAGGAGACGCAGATGAAGAGGGAGAGATGTTTTCCCGCTCCAGGCTATCACCGTTCCCTCCCTCTCCTCCCATGCTCACCTCCAGACACCGGCCGTGTGAACGCAGCTGCGGATATGAACCGCCATCCTTTTCATTTCCTCTGACTGGAGAGGTAACCACTGTCCTTTCACACACCCACCTGAACCCCCCCCCTCCCAGGAGAGCTCTTCACCTGCCAGCTAAGTGTGTGAGGAGACTCTGTCCTCCAGGAGGGGAGAGAGAAGGATCCACTTCCTGTGTCAAATTGCCTCTCACATTCCTCACTCTCTCTCTCAAACCGCCTCGTCGGGTCTATTTTCCCCTCTTTCTTTTCATCTATAGGGGGCTTTGTCTGCCGCTGGACGCACAGAACTCTGATTCATAACAGGAGTTAAACACCATCCTCGGGAACACAACGCTTTTCCCACACACACACACGCACTTCTCAAACTTTTTGGCAGTGGAGACTGGCTATTTTTGAGCCCACACAGACACTTGGACAGATGGACGGAAACGCACACACACACACACACACACACACACACACAACAGATGTCTGTGGGAAATTGGGTCTTTGATGCAAAATATAGATATGATGTCACAGGTTTAATAACAGGAAACATCCAGAATGACACAATTCTACAGACGACTCATCATCACAGGAACACAGAGACATCTGAGACAGAGCCTGGCTGCAACCGCACCACACCGGGGTCATCTGTGTGTTTCTGTGTGTCTCTGTGTGTGTGTGTGTGTAGAGCCAGGGTTCTTTTAACTGAACCTTGCTATAATTAAAGTTGTTGACATCTGAGTGTACGTGTTCATATTGTTGTGTGTTACCTCACTACATCAACAGCACCTGCGTGTGTGTGTGTGTGTGTGTGTGTCACACCTGTCTCCATCTGCACACACTTCAAGACAGATTAGATCATGTGGAGGCCAAGGCAAAGACTCTAACCCACTGACCCTTTAATCAGTGTTTCTGTGTCTGTGTGTGTTTGTCATGTCAAAGCAAGCCAAGATGTTGACAATACAAATGTTTCATTCAATGAAAACAGCCAGTGTGGATTACATTCCCACAGCCTCCACATTCATCTGCTGTGATCTGGCCTCAGCAGCAGCAGCAGCAGCCGCCTCAGCAGCAGCAGCAGCAGCGGCAGCAGCAGCAGTGAGTGGTGCCAGAGGTAACCTGAGCCCCGGACGCTCTGACCCACAAATTGGAAGAGTGGCTCTGGCAGATTTTCCAGGTACAACTTCTGAGTCTCAGGTCCTCAGAGGGAACCACGGAGAACATGAACCAGAACCATCAACATCACAGTCTGTCACTGAGGAGGAGGCAAACACACGAGACACTGCTGCACCACATGACTGCAACACAGTATACACACTAGATAAACACACACACACATATATATAGAGAGAGAGTATATATATATATATATAAAGTCTTATTGGTCAGGCCAAGCTATAGACCAGAAGAAACGACATGTTGTTCAACATCCTTTTTCCTCTTAATCATACACTAACTGACTAACATCTAACTGAAGTCTTCGCTCCAACAACCAAATCATAAACCTCTCATTTAAAGATGAGCTAAAAGCAGACGTCACGTCCCAGGACTCTCCACCTTAAAGCTTCTATTCCTGCAGCTATCTTAGTCGCTGCTAATGCTACGTCTGCTCCACTTCCTGGGAGCTGACTCTGACAGTTACTGTTTTACCAGTCAGTGATTGGTGACCAGAACTATCTGGAACTGTTGGCTGTAACCCTGCTGCAGATTAACATTACTGTCTGTGTTCATCTCTGATGTCTGTGGTCTGTCAGTGTCCCTCCAGGTGTGGCTGCTGATGCTCTGGAGTTCACAGTTCAACAGGAAACAGCGGGGACATAAAGTCAGAGTGCCACTAAATACAAGACTTTCTTTGGTCTTCCTCTTCATCCAGACCTAGATCTGTTCGTTTTTCTCTCAATGATTCAGTGAACCTCCTCCTCTTCCTCCTCCTCCTCCTCTTCCTCCTCCTCTTTACAGGACACACACGGATGCAACGGTAACAGAAGGCGTGGGTGCGCCGTGAGGGGCGGGGGGGGGGGGGGTGCGCGGCTGGTCGGGGAGGGTTCCGGGGGGGGGGGGGGGGGGGGGGGGGGTGCGCGTGAAAATCCATGTTTGTATGTGTGTGTTATCGCGCAGTCCTAATCAGCTTCCTGCTCCTCGACTCCCAATGACATCATTTACCGAGACTCGGTTCTTTGGTTCGCACCGCATCGCCGTTAATTTCCCCGTTACCCCACCCACACACACACACACACACACACACACACACTTAGTGGAGTTCTGGTCTCAGGGTCTTCGATGTGAACCCCCCCCAGAACCGCGGTGCTCCCGGTTATAAAGTGGTCAAAGCCGCAGTGAGTGGAGCTGCCACATGAACGACACACACACACACACACACACAATCAGCCCACACTAGAGATCACCCGCTAATTATACCAACACACACACACACACACACACCTCCTGAGTCCCGAGGGGAAACAATACAGGCTATAATAAACCGTGACGCTGAGACACAAAGGCTTGAGTGTGTGTGTGTGTGTGTGTGTGTGTGTGTGTGTGCGTGTGTGTGTGCGTGTGACACGCTCGTCCAACGGCAGGCTGCTGGCTCCTGCCTGTAGATGGACTGGAGGGTTTCCTTCCGATCACACCGACATCCATTAAATAGTAACGCACGCGCGTCACCGGCATAAGCATGCGCTCACGTGCACCACGCACTTACGCGCGCGCACGTTAAACCGCTCCGGTCCCATTTGTGAACAAGCACGCACTCACACACACACACACACACACCTAGAGATAATGGAGGCGCTGCCCCGTTAACAAAGAACCCACGGTGTCCGTGTCTGGTGTTTTCTTACCGTAGCGGCGGAAGCGACGAGCGCCGTGAACGCCATCAACAGCCAGGGCAGCTTCATGGTCGGGGTGCGCGGGCACAGCCTCCCGGTGCCGCCGCTGCCTTCACCGGGTTCAGGGAGGTGGAGGGAGGAAACAAAAGCCGCCGCTGCTGCTGCTGGTGATATTATTACAGCTACTGCTGCTGCTTCTGTTGCTGCTGCTGCTTCTGGTGCCGCCGCCGCCTTTCCCCCCGGCCCCCTCCAACCTCCCC